GCGGAGGGAAGGACGGACGGAGAAATTATGCACACGCAGTAACTGGCACAGTAAAGCTATGCTCTGTGCTATCTTGTCTGTCTTCTACTCCCCAAACGGAAACTGGCACTATACGACTGGTGGGGGACATAACACTGATACATAGGCAAACATAACAAAGAAAATCATTTGCTCACTTACCCGTTAAGAGGTCATGCAGCTCCTCGAGGGTTTTCATGAGCCGTTGATGGTGAGGACGGCGACTCTGCCAGGTGCCCTGCCGTGTGAACTTGAGGTGCTGCTGGCCACCAATAGAGAAGGCTTGGCAACTCAGGTTGGCGATTGGCTCGTACTCCAACAGCGCTCCCACAATCACCGCTGTAGGCAGAAGACGCTCCCTCATGTGGCTGTTCAAAAGCTGTAAGAGGGGAACAGGGAGCCAGCAAAAGTATCTTTAAATAGATTTTATTTACCGCGCTAGTTTTAGGCGCAGCTGGAAGCAGATTGACGGTTCAGTGCATTTGAAAATCTAATTGTCTACATGTCGGTGTGTTATGCACATCTGAACGCGCATGCTTAAAAATACCCCGATTAAAACTCAAAAAATATAAGTAGTATTGTTTTTGAAATAAACTTGTCTTGGTATAGGTAAGTCTTGGTTGAAATGCGTTGTAGACTGATGAACACTGCATGATCTCAACCTTTCCTTCTAATCTGCTCCGAGAGGTAGAGACTTTGGTCACAAAAATGAAGAAATACAGTAGATATGTTATTTTATGAAATGTTGACCGAAGTCCTAGAATGCGTTTACGATTAGAACACAGTTTGCAAGTAGAGTTTTAGTATTAATAATCTCACAGTATGCTCCCAAGACATTTCATTCATATGAGGATAAAGGTTTTTGAACCAGTTTTTTCCAGTAGCCCGTGAAAACTACACGCTCTAGTAGGTACTAGTGATCACTGTCTACGTACTCATCGAGAACGCAAATTACCACTGTTGGGAATGCTCCCATTCCCATGACGAGTCATCACACACAGAAAGGTGTCTACCTGAGCTGCCACGCTGCTGCCATGAGAACGTTCACCATGACAACCGAGCTGTCGTCAGATCTGACTGGCCCATGTCTCCGACGCTTTCTCATCAAGCGGATCAATAAATACGCACGCAGCCCTTCCGTGAGAACGACTTGCTACTTTGTTAATACAGTTGGCCGCGTGGTCGTTGCCTCATCTTCGTCACCCGTGTTGGCTTTGAGAACAATGATTGGGCAATCATCAGGCGCGGGCAATAACAGCTACATACGAATATAATTGTAGATTAGACGTGTTAGAGTCTTATGCTGCTTATATTCTTTTCGTATTTGCATTGTACTTGAATAACTACGAATACTGAGGCGAATATTCACATTTCAGGTGTGCATGGGTGTATAAGAAAGGAGGATAAGGGTCTTAGCTCGCAAGAGCTCTGCATCGGAGCTTTAGGCTCCTCACACGAGCATGAGTTGGCTATAAGACGGGATGACGGACTATCAAAGTGCCTGCCCACACCTAGAAAACGGGTCATCAGTTTAACTTGGCAGCCAAGACGATAATCGCCCACACCAGAAGCAAGACAAACCAGAAAGGGGCCGAAACCTGGGCCTCTGATGAAAGCCCGGTCATTCGATTTATCGATCTTGTGCCGGCATACGGAGCCCTGCACAGTCATCTCCAGACTGGCGTCACTAGTGGTTGTTTGGCCCCCTGCGCCCTATGACTGTTGCTTGTTTTTCCGTCGACGTTTTTACCTCTGACGGTGGACTCCATTTGGAGTTCGAAAGCTCAAACGAATAAAGCCATCTCCTTATTTAGCTACGGATATTTATCTTTATCAGCAGCAGTTTCGCAGAAGAACCAGCTGAAAACCCAAACAAGCCCGCCGTCGAGTGGAACCCAGCGTAGTGGGCCCTTTATAGTAGATGACCTTAAATACCAAGCCTTGTATTGCCTGCGCGGCATGCGTATAATT